GTGACCTCAGAACAAACCCAGCCTTTTTTATTTTAAGAAAAGCACACTGAGACAAACAGTATCAACTAGCCAAAAAAATTACCTATTGGTTCACAACTGGATCCCCATGGATTGAGGAACATACAACAGCAGCTTTACTGATTAAACACATCAAACTGAAAATACCTGCTGGAAAAAAAGAAAGGGCAGAAAAGAGACACACAAAAAACAGATTGAGAGAACACTAGCTATTAAATACGGCAAAGGAACCAATTACAATTATTCTCTGTTACACAAGCACCACAGGATCATCACAGAATCATCACAGAATCATCAAAGAATGGTTTGGGTTGGAAAGGACCTTAAAGATCATCTAGTTCCAACCGCCTGCCATCAGCAGGGACACCTTCCACTAGACCAGGTTGCTCAAAGCCTCATCCAGCCTGGCCTTAAACACTTCCAGGGAAGGAGCATCCACAGCTTCTCTGGGCAACCTGGGCCAGTGTCTCACCACCCTCACAGTGAAGAATTTCTTCCTAATGTCTAATCTAAACCTCCCCTCTTCTAGTTTGAAGCCATTGCCCCTTGTTCTATCACTCCCTGCCCTTGTAAAAAGCCCCTCCCCAGCTTTCTTGTAGGCCCCCTTCAGGTACTGGAAGGCCGCTATAAGATCTCCCCAGAGCCTTCTCCTGTCCAGGCTGAACAGCCCCAACTCTCTCTATGAGCCTGTCCTCATAGGAGAGGTGCTCCAGCTCTCGGATCATCCTCGTAGCCTCCTCTGGACACATTCTAACAGGTCCATGTTCTTCGTGTGTTGGGGGCTCCAGAACTGGACACAGCACTCCAGGTGGGACCTTACAAGAGCAGAGTACAGAGGGAGAATCACCTCCCTTAACCTGCTGGCCACACTTCTCTGGATGCAGCCCAGGATATGGTCATTGGCCTTCTGGGCTGCGAGCACACATTGCTGGCTCACGTTGAGCTTCTTGTCCACCAGCATCTTTACTAACATGAGTGGCAAATTTATTTGATTTTAGGAAAACAGTCACTGCCAGCAGTATCACAATTCCTCTTAACAGAAGTATTAAATATGAAGCCCAATTCTCAAAAGCAATGAAACTAGGATGGTTTTATATGATGCTGTCTTTAATTCACTTCTTACTACCCTCAAGAGAAATATTCATCCCAATTTTTACCAATGCCTTCTGCCAATACACATCTTTTCCCCATGATAGGAGCTGAAAAAGAGAAAGCATTCCAACTGCCTGTAGAGTTACCATCCAAGTTTAAGAGACACACTCCTCATTTATTAGATGTACTAAACTCTGCAATGCTCCTTCTCCAAAGATGCAGGATTTCTTCTACTCCTTAATGTTTAATTTTTGTTCTTTCATGGGGATTTAAACAAAATATAATCAGATGAAAAAAAGAGAAACTCTAGACTGTCAGGTTTTCTACTAAAATTGGCAGCTATAAGCCCAGTTAGGACTGCAGCAGCTGCAGAACGAGCCCTTTGAAGTGAATATAGCTTAGATTGAAACTGCTATGAAGAAAGGAAACAGCAGAGTAGTCTTCTTTTTATTTTTTAAAGCTTTCACTCACAAATACTCACCTACTACTATGTGGATAGAAAGAAAGCCTCTTCTTTTGGTTAATTAGTAGTTGCTCTTTGTACTAGTCTCAGCCCAAGCCAAAGGAAACTTCAAAGGCTTCACTCATCAAATGTCAGGGTTTGTGCCCAATGTGAAACTGCCAGTTCTGATCTGGTTGCACAGCTACAGCTCGTGCTGAGCTTGGGAGTGGATCTGTATTACTAAGTAACTGCTAAGCAATTGCATCGCAAAAGAACAAACTTCTGTTGAAAAGATTTGGCAAAGTCACAGCAGTGGGTTAGATGAAAACTCGAACAGTTTGCCAGCAGTATGATCCCAATACATGTTCATGCCTCACATGACAGCATCTTTACCCACTTTCTGTTTAATTAGTTTGTTTTTTAATGCCCTTATCTGCACATATGACACTTGCAACTTTAAAACAAACAAATCGGATCTAACGTGGACTACTTCAGACTGCATCAGAGCTGAGGTCTGTATTTCATTTTCTAGTTATGCTCCATAACACAAATATTCTGTAGCATTCTACTGCCACCAGTGTGTAAAAGGAAAAGGAAAAAGGTAGCAAGCTAACATTGAGGGAAGAATAAAACAAAGAGGAAATGATTCATAAATAAACTAAGCCAAGAGGCTGTATCAAATTTTAAACCAATAAAACCTCTGCAAATCTTTTAGGAAAAAAAATGTTAACTGGAATGCAATACATAAAAAAGGAAAATACTTAAGATTCTGCATAGATTTTGTCAGAATAAAAAAAAGATCTGCTCACTCAGTAACTAATGTAATACAACAAAATTTGTATTAGTACTATATCTCTGTGATCCATCAGATACTTCCGGGTAAATACTTCTTCCAAACCCTTAAGGGGCACAAGTTCAATCCTACATGACCTTTTTTCCTCTTCACAAAGGCTTTTAAAACAATCTTAGGCATGAACAAGGTTATTCATGACTAATTTGGAAGGATTATTCATACTCAGTTTAGATCTCTCCCAATGATACCAAAAAAGAACAAACCAGGCTGTGCTATCTCCATCTTTCCCTAACATAAGAGTGCAATCTGGGTGTCAACAGCCATCCCCTAAAGGCACAGAATGGTTAAACTAACACTGAGGAGGTTCAGAATATGCACTCACATTCTTTCGTTCAAGGGTCAGTCTTATATTAATCTGGGACAATCTCAGTAGTACCTATTCAAAGATCACATAATTTGTGAAATGTTCTGACTTCTTAACACCCTCAGAAATAGATGTGTGTAATGTTTACAACATTCTTTAAATAAAAACAGAGTAACTAGTTCTTGCATTTTTAAAAAGCATTAACATTTTAATTAATAAATTCACTTCAAGGTATAGTTCTTAAATTGCTGTAGCAAGAGAGATCTCTGTCATACCAAGAGGTACTGACCTCAGAATTCTGTTTAAGGAATTTATTAAGTACTCCATATCACTAACTATACAGTTATACTACAATTTTACAGCACTTTCCTACACAGTCCATACTTTTTTTTCCATTAAAAACATGCTGTCTATAAACTCTTCCAAAGTGATAACAAGAAACTGAGAACTGAAGTATGTTTTTGAAAAATTGTACCTGAATATAGTGCAATGAATAACTTACACGAGACCATTTAAAAATGGTCATACACGTTACAGACGTGAGGCAGTATGCCATGAGCTGCTGCTGTGTGCTTCCAATCCTAGGCACACGTTCTCAAAGACTCCCTCTAGCTAAAGGAGAACTATTTAGCTATTAAACGAGCATGTTCTCATCCCTTCCAGTTTCACAGATTTAAGTTAATGGGAACTGGCATGGTAATGTAATACAGCTTTCATTAAATATCACAACACTTCACAAGGATAGTATTCCTCTCTCTGCATTAGTGTCCATTTCTCAACATTGCTTCCATGTGTCCAATTCAGCAGTGTGTCAGATACCTAAAAAACCCTCATATATTGGCACTCAACTAACTCAAAAATAAAAGCTGAAAATCCCAACAAGTCACTTCTTGTTTCAGAATAGTAGTCATCCAAAACCTATTTCTCCTTTTAATTGTCCACAAATTAGAAATCCACATAGGTAAGTTTTCATCATGGTTTTTGACTAGCAAAGTGTCTGTTACTTGCCAAAAGTTTCTTTACTCTTCAGAGAAAAAAACAAATGTAGTGTCACTAGATACTATTCTAAACCAAGGAGTCACAGAATTGCATAAGATATATATGGTTAGTACCAACACACGATAAAGATAAAAAAATACAATATGAAAATAATATATGAAATACACTAAACCATGTAGGATATTTTTAATTATGAGGATCAGAGTTACTGTAATTTTTAGAATAGAATAGCCTATTTCAGTTGTAAGGGACCTACAACAATTATCCATCTAGTCCAACTGCCTGACAAATTCAGGGCTGACCAAGTTAAAACACATTTTTAAGGGCATTGTCCAAATGCACCGACAAGGCTTGGGGAATCAACCACCTCCCTAGGAAGCCTGTTCCAATGTTTGACCACCCTCTTGGTAAAGAAATGCTTCCTAGTGTCCCGTCTAAATGTCCCCTGGCTACTTTAAAATTAATAAAACTGCAATCCACTAACTTGTTATTTGATTTGAGCAACAGTAAACAACAAGGTGGACAATACTTTACATAAACTTATGGGTTGAAAAATACTAAAAAATACTGAAAAATACTGTCCTAGAGAACAGTATTATGAAACATAAAAGACGTGACAGAAATGGAAGTACAATCCTAAATAAACTCTACAGTACAAGCACATCTTCCTTTATATGTTCCCAATAGGTGGCAACAGAATACCAAAAATACAAAGTAGTTTATAATCCTTTCTTCATCCACAAAGTAATGGAAGCCCCGTTGCAACTTCTATCAATGCACCAGCAATTTTATTCAAATGAATCATTGCATCTCAGTAACGGAAATTCTTAGGACAGTTAATGTTAAAAGCCAGAGAACGCACAGAACAGAAACAAAGCATTCATTAAAAAGCTGATTGTTATAAAACTAACTGATAGATTATATTCAGAGCTTATCTGAGGGAGTGAACTATTACAAGCAGAAATTTACAGTAACAAAATGTTTCTTGCACATTAAAGAAAAAATGTTAAGGAAGAAAGAATATTTTAGACTCCTTTTTTTGTTGTTGACATCCATACCCTGGTCTTTAACAGTATTTATTTACAAGACTGAATAAAGGGGTGAGCATTTTTAAACAAAGTTCTGAGCTGACAAACCCCAACTTTATCAGTAGTAGCAGGTCCATACTAACTCCCTGATTCTTTGTAAGAAAAGACAGGAAATCAGAGTTCTTCTTTCCTTGACACTTATACAACTATTTTGGTTTTGTGGCACAGAACTACACAAATCAACTCTAAATAATGACTACTTACTTGCTTTCAAAACCAGCTAAGTCACGGTCCAAAGAAATTGTCTCTGTTGTAATTTCCACCTTTCTCACACTGCCAAAGAAGTCTGTTATCAGAACATTTTGCGGGTCTCGCTGAAAGAGATCAGTTCGGTGCCCAGGCGTGGAAACACACAAACTTTTTGGACAGACCTGAAACTGGAAACCAAGATGGACAATCATATCCTGTCCCTCATTCATCAATAGTCTCTACATGTAACTTCCAAAATGAAATCACTTAATAAAATTAAATAAAAAAGATAAATGCCACACATAACTTGCATTAATTCCAGTACAAGCTCCACAACTGAAAAAAAATGATTGAACAAAAACATTAAAAGGCATAAACATCTTGATTATGCATTTCAGAAAACCTTTACCCTCACAAAGTTGTTTGTATTTAGAAATGCTTCTGTGAAAGCCAACCATCAATTATATCTAATTGATTAAATGCACAAATGTATTTCTGAATATAGATGTGGCAATGCTGCTATAACCTTCCAAAAAGCACAAGTGGGTATAAATTCTTCATATTTACCAAAGGAAGGCAAGCGAGATAAAACAAGCCTTGATAAGTAGTTAATAGTAAAGGCTTCATAAAGAAGCAAGAATTTACATTTTGATTTAAAAGAAAAGAATCTCTTAAGTCTTATTTCTAGTTTATAACCTGCAAATTAATGCAGAATTAGGACCTTCAAGTATCAAATGTGGTTTACGTACATTAAGTTCACAGAGACATCCTGTAAGACGTACAAATTAGCTGTACATCTTATTATTTATTTTACCTTTGTATTGTGTCTACATATCAGATCCACTATATGCAACACACATTGCAACACCTGGAAGAGAAGAGCAGCACTAACAAACTGTTTTCAATTGATTCAATTCTGTATAAAGGTACATCTGCAGAGAATGGGTAGGTGTAACAGTGGCAGATTTGTTGTAGCATTTAGAATATCTGACAAGACAGCATGTCTATCAAATAACAAGATTGCCACATACCCAGCAGATATTTCAGGCAAAACCAATGCATTTTGGACACAATGTCTTTTTGTACAAGTCCTGCCACACTCGCCATAGAAGTTGCTAATATTTCCCATCTGGACAGATTCCTTATTTCAAGGGATCTTGCAATGCACATAATGTAATAATAACTGGTTTGTATTTTTATTAATAATGCTACACAGCTTAAAATACCATGCAATGTATCCCAAGGCCTCACTCTCTCTAGCCTCCTTGATGAGCTTGGAAAGCTGAGTTCACATCTCAATCATTAGAAGGCACTTCATAACCAAACACACAACCCTACGAGACAGAAGAACTAGACACGCATCCCTGCTAGACAGAGACACTAGCTCCACAGTGCTCTGTACAGTTTCATGAGCAAATGTTGCTGTCCATTCAAACATCTCACGGGCAACCCACAGATCACCTGGTAACAATGTAGGTTACATGAGTCCTTGTATGTTCCAGCAACACAGAACATTGAACAGAAGAGATTAATGTACAGGACTATGAAGGATGCTCTCCATATGGGTGCTCATCTTCCTTAATCTTAAATTGCCCAAGTGATTTTCACAAACAGGTCCATCAAGTCACTGGATCTAGAGCTTATACACCTATTCACATCATGGGTTAGCTCTTAGAAAGTTGCATTCTTAGGACAAAAATCACAGGTCCTAATTAGCTCAATGCAGATGTAACCTCAATTATTCCAGATTACAACTGATAAAATCCGTGCACTTCAGTCCATACTTCCCAGCAGAAATTCTGTGCTCAGCCTGACAGAAAACACAAGGGCTTGTGTGGCTCCTTCTCTTAGGACGACAGAGCCCTACATCTAACAAGTTTCCCAGAAAGGAAACAACGTGCCTGGCTTTTCTTCACAGAGGACATTCTATCTGTCCAGTCCTCCCTTCTGCTCCATTACAGATTCCCTTTTGTAACTTGTCTTTTTTGTCTAAGCCTGTAAGCATACGGCATTAGGCTGCCGGTCCAGGGAGACTTCAGCTCACTTGCACCTTTATCTTAACTGAAGCATACAAGTATACATATCCACTGAGCCCTTTTTTAATGATTCCCAGCTCTCTTGTTGGCAGTGTATCACACCAGCTGCTAAAGAAAAAGATAGGTGCAGATGAACTCTTTCTGTTATCCTCCCTGGGAAGTGAAAATTAACTAGACTCATCAGCATCACACTTCCCATACAAAGCCGCTTTCTCAAAGCACACAAATCCTCTTAAGTTTCACTTTTGACAAAATGCAACTCTCCTCCAACTCAGGGAACAAACATAAAAATTAAGTCTCTGAAGTAAGCTATAAAAGCTAAGTATTTGTTTTAATCCTGCTATTTGATGCATAAATCTATGCTGCAGTTACACCATTAAGTCTCTCTCCCAAGCTCTCATGAGTGTTAATGTCCCAAAACAACTGCATCAGCACTGAAAGTGGGAAACTGATACTGCGCCCAACTATTTCTAACCTGTCCCACTACAATTTACTACCATAAGATACTGAGGTGAATCTTGAAAGAAAAGTGCAATGGCACTGAAAAGATGACTTCAGTATTAAAAATCTACCTATCCAGTACCACTGTGAGAAAAGAAAGACTGCAAAGCAACTACAAACAAACTGAGGTTAAAAAAAGAAAAGGCAAATGTTGGCTAAATGAAAAACATTTCTTCATCTGTCGAGTTTTCCAAATTTTTTTAAAATACAATACTACTCAAATAAAGCTGAACAATTCCCCCAAATGTGAACTTCGTTATATTGGCTTTCCTTAACAACTTTTTTAGTTATTTTATGACAAATCATATCTCATTTAGAAATGTATTTGAATCTTATTTTAAAAGTTCAAATCTGTGACATTTCCATTTAGTCTTTACTTTTTTGAAATTGTGATCAAACTGAAAGTCAGTCATTTGCACAGCTTTATGCTATCCCTTAGCAACACAGATGGAGCAGGTGGGGAGTAGGTGGAGTGGATTATGAAAAAAGATGTCTCATTCTTTGAAGGAATGCAGTATCCAAATCTTAGGTGGATGTGAAGACAAGCTGTTTTAAGAGTGGTTGGAGAAAAGTAAAGAGGTGATGGGTAGAAGGGTATAACAAATTCACAGTCCTTCTAAAAGAGCAGATATTTAACGTATCAGAAGATCAAACAACTAAACATTAGCTAATAATTTTAAAGGTAGTTAGTGAGCCACTTAATGTTATCCTGAGTTTGGAAATTGTTAATTTAAAAAAAAAAAAAATCAGATTTGGATAAGCAGTGGGTCTTTGTTCTTAAACTAGCACAACACTAACGGTGTATTACAGTGTGAAAGTCTCCCCTATAACTGCTGGCAAACAAATGGGTTTACATTCTTACCATGGACATGTCATTTTGGAACTCTTCAATAAAGGCCTGTAAAGCATCAACTCGAAATCAAGAGGTTATGTTTGCTGAAATATGTGCACATTATAACTCAGTACATGATCATCACAAATCATGATATATTTGGGTCTATTCTCTTCCCTTCCTAGAGCAACAGTAAGCAAATCGATGACGTATGACAAGATGATTTATATGACGCAAGGAATTTACCAGCATGGGGTAACTCCCCACAGCTCTTCCTGCGTATTTGGCATATAAGCAAAAACAAAAAAGCAAGGGATAATGTTTAGATTACGTTCTCCAAAGAGCTCAAAAGGTAAACTACTTGGCCAGCTAACAAGTTTTCTATACTTTTCACAACAACTGGACTAATATCTAGCTGGCTAGATCAGTTATACCACTCCCCAGATGGCATCTTATACAGTAGAAACCACTGTTCATTTTTATGACTTTTTTTTTTTTTTAGTATAAATTCATTTTCTGGTTTACAGAAGAGAGTTCTAAAATGCTGTTTGAATCAACTGGCTAGAAGAAGATACTTAAACAACAGAGAACCTGTATATTCTTTAACAAGATTTATTTTAAAGTTATCTGTATTGCATGATTAGAAGGTATAAAATTACAGGACAAAATTTCATTCCCATAGTAGTTAAAGAATCTTGAATCTCAGTCACTGAATCAATTCTGTAACAACATAAAATCTGTCAAGTGTGGGCTGTTCAGAGTGAATTCTACTACACATCTAGCAGCCAGGCTAACACCATCCTCTGTAGACAGAGGGTGGCATAAAACTTTTGAGCAGCTGCTCCTTTTACAGAAATGAATCAAAGACAATGTGTTCTGTAAGTGGTGGCTCTTAGATCACTGACGCAGCATGTCAGGATTTACAGCTACGAGGCACCAAAGCATAATCTATTACTACAATGAAACCAGTACTGGAACAGATATAAGGGGTAAATAGAGTAAATAAAATACAGTTACTTTTTACACCTCACCAGTGTATACATCTAACTGTTATAGAGGCATTTTCATAAATTTTGTCATAGGTTATCTGGTTGCGATTTTTTTTCCCTCCTGCCTCATACCTGAAAGCTACAATTAATATTTACCAAGGATATAATGAACTCCAGGATTTGGACGTATCTTGCTCTGGAATCTAAGCAGATACACAGAGAAATTGGTGTCTGCAGGCAATTGTGAGTGCATGGTTAGAATTTTAACTGATTAATCACCTCTGCAAAACAATATCAATGGCTGCCTTTCCACACCTGTAAAGTGTCTGGTATCCATAAGCTGATTTTAGAAGCTTCCTACTATCATTTTTCAGGTGTAAATACTTCATTCTATTGAAATGAATATTTAATGAATACTTTATTCTTTTCTCAAAAAAAAAAAAAAATCTGGCTAATTTTGGTTAATTTGTTTAGTAGCCAGCAAACCACTTTCACTTTGAGGAGAATCCTTAGAGCATTACATTATGACTACACTTAATAATGGTAAAAGATCCTCCCCCCAAAGCTGCTTCTGAGAGAAACAGCAGGAGAATAAAAAGCATTTGGAGAATCCTATGGACAAAATAAATTAGTTCTGAAACTGTTAGAGTCATTAGTACATTCATGAATGTTGAGTATTCTACTTACTAGGTCATTCATATTTGTCTGACTGGCTGGATGAATTTCTTCCAAGAACTCTAGCACATAGAATGTGTATCTGTCCATCAGATGAACGCCAATCCCAAGATCAGGTTGATGCTTAAAAACAAGAAACAGCAGTTACTGGGCATTTGCAGGAGAGAACTCAGTTAGGAGAGGGAACAGAATGTAATAGCATGTCACAGAAGTTAACCATTTTTTTTTTTGTTCTTAAACAGATCATGCAAAGAAAATGACCAGCCATGAAGAAACTTACTGTTGGCAAGTTGAATAATACAGTTTATCTTAATTTTTGTAGACTATATCCTGGTAATCTCCATGTTTGACAAAAAGCAGGGAATCTCTTCTTAATGGTCCAGTACAGATTTGTGTGCTGCCCCATGCTTCTTAGGACGTAGGAAAACAGGGCTGGGAGAGACAGCTTATCTTACAGCGCTGTGTGGGTTCAGGTAATCCCGACTTACTGGTTTTGGGCTGGCTAGGATCTCTCTGCTATCACTCCTTCTGTAATTTAGCAGGTGAAAGGTAGTGGGTATTTTTTTTTTTTGTATATCAAGTGCAAGAAGTCCTAGATTGAATATTCCCCACACCTATCTTATCTCTTGGTACTCTTCCCACCCTAGGCAACAGATAAATTGGCCAGCAAGCACAGAAATCCATTGTGAGCCTAGTTCTTTGGGACAGCACACAAAACCAAGCAGGAAAAGTACACTTACAATTTTTGTTAAAACCATACTTTGTAACTACCTACCTTACACATTCAGCAATTAGAAAGAAATTTTTTAGTTAAGTCAACAGGACCTATGCTTTTAACTGAGGCATTCTAAAAATGGTCTCGAGGATCACAAAAATCTACTTACTGATAAAGAATCTTCTCCAACTTGGCTGCTAGCCAAGGCCATTATATTAGGTGAATAAAATCGTTCATACATGGATGCTCCTTGACAAGTATCAATAATAAACAACAATTCATTGTACCTGAAAGAAATAAAACAGCCTCCTTACCCATCTCTCTTTAAACTGAAACAACATATACATACTTTCTTTTTATTTACCAGGACAGCTGCTAGGAATCTAGGGAACAGAAGAATTCACACTGATTGATAGTAAGATGTGAGTTTAGTAAAAGCAATGCATTTGAGCAGCTGTAACTGCAGGGAGATGAAAACAGAAATGAAAACTCTTCTTTCTGAATGCAAACTTTCAAGAAATTTTATGGACAACAGATATTATCACTGCTGAAGGTAAGCAAGGCCTGCCAGCAAGGCCTTCAGGCATATTCATGAATACAGTATTTAACCCGCTTTTTTCTTACCTTCTTTTCTGCCACATTTGTTCAAAGGCATCAGCAAGTTCTACATTTGTGATTTCTTCAGAATCCTGAAATTTTAGGAAACCATTTCCACCATGGCCTGACAGAAAAATCAGAAGTTAGGCAGGTGTGCAGGCTAAAGGAAGATAATCAGACTGGTTGACCATTTTTCTAAGAAAGGCAAACACAATTCTCTTTCTCCAAACAGATTCCAGCAAATTAAAAAAATAGTATAGTAAGAACAGTAGGTGTACATCATTTAAACTGGAAACTATACTTGCTAACTACTGTGTTACAGATTTTTTTCTTCATTAGTATGATATGCTAAAAAAAAATAAAATAATCCTTTTGTTTGTTTGGACTCCTGATGGGATTTCATGCTTTCAAACAGGCCCATCCAACTGAACAACAAACATCAATAAGGTATATACAGAAACCTGTAACTACCTGTCATATATATTAGAATATTGCTTCTGTCATCAGAAAGAAGACGTTTAGATCGTGGTGTGCTTGGTGGGATTCTTCCTGTTAATACCCGCAAGAAGTTTTCGACAGTAACCTATGAATAGAAGCATAAAGTAATTTTTTAAAGAGAAAAATATTAAGAGCACTCAGCTGGGTTACATAAATCAAACAATGGAACACTAAAATATGCAGTGTATCTAACCAGGCATAACCTTGCATGGTATAAACGGCATAAACAGACATTTTCTGTTTAGGGTTGTACTGCAGGTTCACAGTCATACGGTACCTTTTACTTTATCCTACTAACATCTGTCTGTTGCTTTATCACATCCAGTAAGTCTCCTACAATTATAATTTCTAAATACATTGCAATTGATCTGAAAACCTGTCCGTGTATAGCTTTATTCTGCCAAAGCTACTCACGTCCTCACAAAATGCTCCAACATCAGTGTGTGTTACCATGGAAAAATAAAAGTTTAAAGTCCCTCTGCAACTCAGGAAAGGAAAAACAAAATCAATTTCAATTACATAAGTCCGAGTGATCAGGTAACACCCATCTGGATGGTGATTGTAAAAGATCCTATAAAACACTGCTTCTTCTTCATGCAGACATACACAGCTCAAACACTATCAACAAACCCATACTCAAGAAAAGCATGATAAAAAGAACATATTTCTATTTCAGTGTTGTATCTTCACTTTATACAAAGCTTCAGAGAAATAAAACATCTACTATATACTTAAATATGCTCCTATAAACCTTTAGTAATGATTATATAGTAGTATTAAATCATGCAATTGATGTCCAATTTAAGATCAACTGGTAAAGACATTGTCTGTTTGAAGGAATTTTACATAAAAATGAAAATGTGATAGAATGCAGATTTATATATAGTAATTTGTCCTGGTTTTTAGCTGGGACCGAGCTAGGTTTCTTTTTAGTAGCTAGAATAGTGCTGTGTTTTGGCTTCAGGATGGGATTTGTTAGACAGAAATGCTGATAACATACCAATGCCTTCATTTTTGTCACTGGAAGTGAAGGACTTTGTGTTTTCTCTACAAGCACAACATCTAAGGGGGGCAAGGAATATTTAAATTAATAAGCTAAATTGGAATTTGGATATGCCAATGGGATATTCCATATCATACAACATCATGTTCAATATATTAATAAGGGTCTCTTCCTCTTTTGCTCACTCTGACTTTCGCTTGGGCTCTCACTATTCCAGGATTGCGGTTTTGGTTCTATATTGTCACTCCTCTCAGATTGTTATCTGGGAAAGGGCCAGGCTTGGTTGGTGGGTGGTGAGCAATTGCACCATGTATCACTCATTTGCATATTTTATTACTATTATTATCATTTTTATTTTAATATCATTATTATTTTAAGTTTTCTTTTATTTCAATTATTAAATTGTTCTTATCTCAACCTACAAGTCTCCTTATCCTTGCCCCCAATTCTCTCCCCTGTCCCCTAGGTGGGGGGGAAGTGAGTGAACAGCTGTGTTTAGCTGCTAGCCAAGTGAAACCACCACATAATTACAGCAATTATTAGGCTATGGCTTTTGTTTTGTTTTTTTATGAAAGCATATGCTTAAGATTAGAAATTTAAGTAGGACTCTCTAATAAACATTTCACTTGGATGCCAGACGTTTCACAAGTGGTGTTAAGACAAGTTTGTAAAATGAGACACTGACCAGTCATTTCTAAAGAAGAGAAATTTCAGTATTATGTGTGTATTCCTAACACATATAAGAAGCCTCACATATTCTTTTAACTGTAGAGATTCCATTACTTAAAATGGCCAATACACAACATGTTTCTAGTATAAAAAATATCAAATACAAAAACAAGCATCACAGCAGGGAGAGGTGTGTTTTCAACCTATCAGTTGACAGTCCAAAGCCCAGTCCAAAACCAGTAATGTGAATAGAAAGACCTCCTCAGACTTCACAGATCTTGTATAAATCTTTAAACCAACACTGAAAACAAAGACCCAAAGATTTAATTGAAGTGCAGTCACCTCATAGCTTCTGTAATCCACTTCCACATCATCTCCATAGACATTTAGCTCCATGTTTTTATGACTAAACACAGTAGCTGGTTTGGGATTTCTGGGATTACATGCCATATCATCTGCTAGCATCAGGACAATGTGACTACAGAAAATAAAACAAAAACATTTCAGCCATCCTACTTTCACATAACATTCAAACGGAAATTACAACAACACTGTCCCATGATTACAACAATAGCTTATAACATTAAGAAGATTCCTGGAACTGTAAGCAAAACTTTGCTCAGTTATACCCCATTTCCTTATGAACACCCACACTATTATAAAGAAATCACACATGGAAATGCAGCTAGCTGTTATTTATCTACAGGATTAAGTTACATCAAAGATCAGCAAGAGAGTAGTTGACATTAGCAACTTTATGATACAGACTTGCCTGGACCTAGGCTGGCAGAACTCTTTATAAAAAATCTAGACATTTTTATGGGGCAGTAAATAATTTCATGCAGCTCCACAGAAGAAATCCCAGCTTGTTTGCACTCTCTCAGACAGATTAGTTAAAAACATTATGACAATTTTTAATTAAATTTGAGGAGCTCCTGAACATTTCTCAAACCATTACACTATATCTGATACACTACTGTATGATTAACTATGTTAATGGAATTTTACTGAAGAACAGAAGTGGGCTGACACCAGACATTTTGTCTTCTTCATAGTACCGAGAAAAAAAAAAACAACAATGCAGCAATTCATAATACCAAGATAAAAAACAAAACACAGCACATTATAAAGCTGTTTCAAATCACAAGCAGACAAAAATCTATATTTCCTCTAGCAGGGTCGGGTTTGGGTCAAAATATGAAATAACAAGTAGTCACTGGAGACTGTTAACACAAAGAAGAGCATGCCAGAGATGTCTGGAACAGGGTGAAGTCTGTCCTTTCCTTGGACTTCCTAACCCTGCCTTGTATATAGTTTCTCCTAGACTGTGATCTTTGTGTTCTCCCAAACAGTTCTTACAAGAGGAAAGCTCTGTATCCTGCAAAAAAAGCTGCTAGCAATCCAAACTTTCAGGCACACAGCTATAAATGAAACTGTGTCCTGCTATTTAAATACCATCCCTGTGCTTGTTATTGTTCACCTATATGTCTGCATGAGCACTTTAAGACTAAAGTTATTCTTCATTAAGTGTTGATACACTACACGCTGCATCAAAAAAGGGAAAAGAGAGAGAAGTGCTGTTCAAAATAACATAAGCATAAATCCTGAAAAATAATAAAAGTAAATTATTTCAATGGGAATAAAATGCTGGCATAAATAGGAAGCTGTAATGACAGAAGCCAGAGGAGGACAACTACAGAAGAGAAATAAAGATTTTTTTTTTCTCCACACAGGCAAAACAGTACAAAATTATTTTTATAAAAGAGTACCATTAAAAGGGAATTATCTGGAAGCAAGGTCTTGCTTCCAAATGCCTTGCAGTTTTACTGAGATAGTCAGGGGTACACCCACTTTTTATATTACACTCAGAAGAGAATATTCCAGACTAAGCCATCACTAGGCCTACAATTCAGCACTGTCTTTTTGCTAGGAATGTGTCTATTAAAAAAAAGAATTCATAATCACACATCACTTAGTAAAAGGTTCTCCATAGTACTAGTACAGACAGATGAGCTCAAATATGCCACATTTGTAGACTGTATGGCATTCTTAAAAGCATATGAAATATCCCACAGTTAAACAGAACCACTGTGCACTAGTGGTTCGTACATGCAGCAAAACAATCTAAGTGTTAATTTGCAGCTTAACTGTTAAACCAAGTAATCTAACCATATATTAACGCTATTTTAATGATTTAAGACTTATACTGCATAATGATCCCAGGAATCAAAAAGAATCTCTGGATTCATTTTGCCCATGTTTTATTTTAGCAAAAGTTTTCTTTTATGCATTGAAGCATTGTGCCCACATGTCAACAAACCAGAGCAACTCACAGTTATAACCACAAATCACTTCCTTAATGAGTTCTGTTGCTGAATGACAAATCTATTTAAACCACCAAATTGGCACAGTTCCATTGAAATGAGGCTACGCACAAGCCCCTTCAAAAAACCCAACCCCAGAAATCATGATAAATGTTTACTTTTAAGATATTACTTTGGGGTGGTTTTTTAAATTAAGTTTCGCAGCAAAGAAAGAGAAACAGATAGAGGAAGAAGTTTTGTCTAGGGGAGAACCCCTCAAATCCATGTAAAAATTACTGCAAATGAGAAAAAAATAGGCTTGGGCTCTCTCTCTCTCTCTAGGTCTTCTCCAGTATCTTATTCTTCACCTTAGTCTAAAGCATTACTGGTTTTTTGAGACTCATTTCCAGATTCTTGGGGATGGATAAGAAATGGATCAGGCTACTGAACAACAGAAATCTCCAGTCATGCTGTAGTCTTTGCAGTATTTCTAAAACTGCCACCTATTTTGACCTTAATGGTGAAGATGGATGGATGCAGAGAAGATGAAAGTTCTCAGTTAAGTGTAGAACTAGTGAGAGAATTTCTAAGGTAGTGCCTAGAGCGGCTATGCTTCAAAGGCCATACAGGAAAGAAGACAGATGTTCCTGAATGAGATGTACAAAAAAATGCCATACTTCCGTGGCTTTAAGCCCACAGTCCCTAGGCAGTACAATCCCTTGGATTTATAGCCCTCAAATGCTTCCAGGGTTAGGTTGCAACATCCCCTCTTTCAAAACCTAAGAAGTCACTCTTTTCCTTTTAAAAATCAACACAGGAAACAGGATGATACTGCCATTGCATTCACAGTTGAGTAGAAGCTAAAACTCCAGATACTACAGTTTTGGACTTGGACAACAAAAAGGTCATACAAATGGAATCCAGTAGAAAATGCATTTTGTAATGATGGAGCAGGTCACATCTCTTGAGGCAGACATGGGGGAGAAACTACTAGTCCTCTAAACTAACTTTAAAAACCAAGATCACCAAGATTTCCATAGAAGCCTATTGGTACATTTGGCCTATTATTCAATGGATGCTGGTGCCTAAAATTCACTTCCACTGTTTTGGTACAAGTAAACTGCATTCCAAAATGGCTGGATGGAACTGTGCCAATATCCCAAGAACTTCCAGTAGGAACACAAGTAACACACTTCAGAACAGATTGTTCACTTTCCTAATCCTGTTGTCAAAGAAGGAATATTATTTTAACCATTGTGCTATCGTTAGAGAAGCACAATTTGACAGACAAAGCTTCCATTTTCTCTAAAATCATCAGTCAAAACGGTAAGGCTACTTTCAATACATAAGAGCTGCTTTGTTCAGGGTCTGTAGTTTGGAGACTCTCGGTGTAGTTGCAGATGTGGAAGTCTTACATTTTAGGATACTAACAACTAGTATGCAAAGATCTCCACAGTGAAACGAAATTAAAGTACAGCAAAAGCCATATCTCAGAGTACTATTGTCATTGCTGATGCATTTATCAATTTTCATGTTACGCCCTCATCAATTTACTAAGTGGTACATTTTAGTGCCCAGATACCTCCTCATGTTTTTAATCTAATTAGCCTGTTCCAACTGGAAGTTTTATTATATAACTTGTTACTTTTCCTTTTGAACAGTATTGCTGCACTTTTCAATTCACTGATGTGATCGCATCCTTCCTTTTTACTTTTATTCAGTTAAACTTGGAAGAGAAATGTATTTTTATACAGCTTCAGACAACTAGAGAACTTGAATACAATTCCTTGCAAATATGCTGTTAACCGAGATTCCCTCACCTGTCAGGAATAAGGAATGCCCAGTCTCTTGACACTTCTGTATACTGAAAGAGTATTTGCCACATGACGATAATTAAACCAGAATCGAGATGTACACACCTTGAATTTTTAAGGGAAAAAAAGAACCATATTAAATAGTATAAAAGATACAAACTGGCCTGGCACATTGCAACAGAAGACCATGATTACAAACCAGAAAGAACATAGCAACATCAAGAAACTCATTACATAGGCTATATAAATCTTTGTTGTACCAAAGCAACAAATGCTGAAAATAAAAGTTTGTTGGTTTTCTTTTTTAAAAAAAAAAGTTCTTAACATACTGACTCACGAAAAAATTGTAATAAAACCCAACTAAGTATAGAAAGTGGCACTTTAGGAAATAATTCACTAATAGTAAGTGGATAAGCTAATTTTTTTCATTTGCTTTGTCCATATCAGCTGGAAGAAAAATCAAAGGAAGAGTTCTCATCTCAATAGCAAACTCATTCTGGGAGCATTCTCGCACAAAAGCGTAAGTGAATTCATGCAGAAGCCACGCACAGGGGAAAATACATGACATTTGCATTTAAGGAATCAAATATAACAAAGTAAGAGCTAAGTGAGCTCTAACCAAAACCTGAATGCAAATTCTGAAAAATGTCAAAGGAGTTCAGGTTCTACTGTTCTAACAACTGAAGGGCTGCAAATCAGCCATTCCCATATTATTCCCTAGGTCAGATATTTAATCTGTCCTCAAAAACCTGAAACCAATGAGATTTCAAAAATCTTCAGCGCTAATCTGCTGTAGCTCCTTAGTAGCCTTATCATTGCCTTTGTGTACAGACAAAGTGAGAAGCATTTTAGAAGAGGTGACTTTAAAACCACAAAAATAGAGAGGCAGGAACAAGCATTTAAGACAGTTTTTTTACTTTTTTCAGCTTTAAATGTATACCTCTAATTTAAATAGAAACATGATCTTTAAGTTACACTGCATAACATCTTTTTCTCTAGCTTTTTCATAAAAAGGAATTAGTAGTAGCTTAAATAATAATAAAAAATTCAGCCTGAAAGGATCCCTTGTGTCTCGATCGTGCTGTCAGTTAAAAAAAATCAAAAAAGCCCATGGGAATCGGTCCATGAGAACATTTGCTTTTCAGCAAGATTTAAAGCTCTGAAAACTAACTGTGGCCAATCTAGCTGTGACATTTCAAGACATTATCATCTGCCCCTTTCCTCCCTTACCACCCAGTGGAAAATATGTCTATGCTTTAAATTTAGTTATTCACTCTGCAGCATATTAATTCAAATGACTGTTGAGGTGGGACTGCAGTACAATCTCGGGCTTGAAGTGCCTGCTAGCAGTAAAACACTCCCTATTTTACTGCTTAAAAAACCAGTAGCAATTGTTATAAATCTTAATCCATGAACTACTGAAAAAATACAACCAGCAGAGAATCTGTTGACTAGAGAAAGTATAGCTCCTCGGACCTAATTTTCCACTTTCATTGTGTGTTTTTATGGGTGCTAATAAAGGCACCTATTTGTTAATAGTATTAAAGTAGTACTTGATCTTTTGATAGTTTCAAGTTTGTACATTGTAGAATTTGGAAATCATTGCTTCTAATTCAATTAATTACTGTTAACTTTCCTTTTCTATTGCTCAATGTTAGTATCTGGAAAACAAACAGCTGCTACTGAGTAATTACAATAGTGTTCTGAAACAAATTAGTCATTAAGACCTGACCTGTGATTAAGAACCAATTGTGTAGCATGGCTTAAAGCTAATAAAAGATTAGCTTTTGCTTCATGGCAAAAAAAAAAAATACCTAGGATAAGAATAGTTGATCTAAACATTACATTTATTTTATTCTAAGCCTGTTATCACGAGTTAACAGACTGAGTAAGAACAAAAATCAGAAACAAATCATACCTTTCTGCAAAGGGATATACTTCTCTGATAGCAGAATTACCATTTTGTTCAATATGCAGTATGGTAATTTAACTGTTTTAATGCTGTCAGAACTTTTGTTTTATGAATCCTGCCATGTAGCCAGGCATTTTGAGTGCCTGAAATGTAGTCATACTGAAAAGATAATTTTATTATAGTGTAATAAATTTGCAGGCACAATTTCAAATTTTTTCATTTCCAAATCTTTATCTTTACACTTCTTTCAAATGAACAGAATTCTTGAGTGACTGCTGCAATTATGGCTCCTGATGAAAAATTGTCAACTTTATTGGAACAAAACAACCTGGACTACACTTACCAGAACTGCCCAGTTGTTTGTATGTCCACTTCTAAAGAACTGTTCTGCTTGATCCTGATAGATGGCAAAAATATTAGATGTTTTTCAGCAATAAGAAAGAAATGACCACTCATATTTTTGTTGTTTCCACAAAACAGTGTTCAATGCATACGTTTACCACACCTTAACACTAAACAAACGTTACAAAAGCTTTAAAAGAAGTTGTTCTTATTTCATGCAAGTTAATTGCTCCAAGACTTTCCCTGAAACTTGCTAAATAACAAAGGAGAAAGAATTATTAATCACTTTCAGCTTAGTTAAAACAAAAAGCCCACACTATATTCCAAAGGACACTCCAAGAACAAAACAAAATTATTTACTGACCTACAGTTTCTCAATGAGAAAACGAGCTTGGATTAATTTAAATGTTCATTGCTCCTCTCATCTTTTGAAAAAAAGCAGTTCAGTAAATTTGCAATTTTAACCCAGTTTAAATCCAGGGTTGTTACATTTATCTTCCAAAACCAGGAGCTATGACAACCACCTTCTCTATAATCTGTGTTATCCATAGTTCCCACTGTGCTTTGCAGAGGAGAGGGTCATTTTTCTGTAAAAGCTGGCATAAATCGGGACACAGAAAGGGGTAAGACTTCCCAGAGGTAAGGGAATGAGTCTGTCACGGGACAAGCATGCAGACTTGCTGATTCTTAATCAGACCCTCTTAGCACTCTGAAGGGTGCTGGGTTGATGCCTGTAGTCTCATGTAAAACACAGAGAAACCATTTGTTAAAATATACGCAAAGCATACTATATATATATGCATACATATATGCTTCAAGTAGCAAACAATTTGCAGTGTAATTAGTAAACCAAAGACTCCAAAAATATTCCTATTGGCTACTTTTTGTCCCATTTGTAATTAATGTCAAGTGCATCAATTTGTTACCACTGAAAGTTACATGGCACAGTCACAGAGAAACCCGCTTCAGAAACCTGTAAACGTATTAAAAGAGAGGGTTTTTTAACTTTAAACAGTTTAACAAGTTACATGTGGCTGACGAGCCGCGTGGTTTCTGGGTCGTACTGTATCACAACCCACAGAACACGAGACCCCCGCGGCCGGGCGCCAGCAGCCCCGCGTACGCCCAGGGGGCAGGGCAGAGCGAGGCGAGGCGAGGCGGGGCCGGG